TCAACATCTTTACACAACACGGATGTATAACACTCCTCTCCAGTAGCAGTAACCACTTTCATTGGAGGGCGAATGTCATACATTTGCAAATTTAGCCCAACGGCCATAAAATCAGACATACAGGAGTGTGTAGCTCCTGAATCAAACAACACTTCAACATCCATATTATCAATGTAAATTGTACCTTTCACTAGATTCGGAGCCTTCTCCGATTGCTGACGGTCCATGGTATATACTCTACCAACCGTCTGAGACTCTAGCATAGGTTGAACAACAGAGACCGGAACAGCAGTAGCTTGAACTGCCATAGTCCTTGCTTCATTCTGAGGACACTGCCTGGAGTAGTGACCGGATCTTCCACATTTAAAGCAAATCACCTCACCAGTAGCACATGGACCTCTATGCTCTTTGCCACATCCCTTGCACTTGGGAGGAGGTCCTCTATCAACAAACTTCTTCTGAGTACCGGGTTTTTTGAACAAGTCAAAGGGCTTATTCGCATTCAGCTTCTTGCCTTGCACCTTCCTGTTCTTCCAATAACCGGAGCCCGTTGCTTTATGAGAACTAGGTGCCTGAGCCTCAGAAGACTTCTTGGTTTGGGACACCTTATACACTTCTTCCACCTTTCTACACTGGTTTACAAACCGACTGAACTCTCGGATGTCACAATTTGACATCTTCCGAGACATCTTCTCATTAAGACCCCATTGGAACTTGGAGGTCATTTCAGCCGGGGTGGGTAAGGCTCGCCCATAGTTGGCGTATTTCACCAACTCATTGAATTTTGAGAAGTATTGGTCAATAGACATCGACCCTTGTTTGAGATCGTTATACTCATTCTGCTTTTGTTCCCTAGCCTCTCTAGGGAAGTAGTTATCCAAGAACAATGTCTCGAATAACCGCCATGTGATCTCCCGACCTTCAGCTTCTAATGGCTGCACGGTATTTGTCCACCAATCTTCTGCTTCCTCTTCCAGCATATAAACAGAGTAAGCCAACTTCATTGCGTCAGGGCACCTCATCACCCTGAATATCTTCTCCATAGCTTGGAGCCATTTTGCAGCCGCCATTGGCTCATAACCTCCCTTAAAAGAAGGAGGTTTATGTTTTCGGAAAGCCATTAATCTCCTTTCCTCCATTTCATGATCACCGACATTTTCAACTTGAGGTTGACGAACCTCGGTGTGATGACTCCGACTTCCGGAGTGGTGACTACCTTCACCCTCATTGTTACCCACTCCACCCTCTTCCTGTGAAGGAGGTGGAGAAGGCGTAGCAGTGTGAGGAGGAGGAGTAGGTTGCCGGTTCACGGGCCTAGGACCCCTCAACGTCCTCAGCTCGGTCATCATCGCGGCCATAGCAGTCCGCGAGTCTTCATTTGTCTTCATCAGATTTTCATTGGCTTGCCTGCTAGCAGCCAACTCTCTCTGAACGGCTGCAAGAGCTTCAGCCACGGGATCAGGCTGTACGCCCGTTGCCCCACGGCCACTTCTAGGCCTCACAAGAGCAGCCAAAACAGGTTCTGGCTGAGCATTGGTGTTTGATGGTCCGGGGTTGTTTCGGTTCCTCGTCATGTCACTACACATGTTACACAAAGAAGTGAGTTGATCAGGCCCACACTTAGTGATCACAAATGCAATAATCATACAGAGTACTAAAACAACTATAAAGCATCAAACACTAAGCATACTCAACAATAGCTAACAGTTATTCCCAACGAAACTGCTCTGATACCATAAAATGTAACACCCCGTTCTAGAACCGGTTTGTTAACATCGCATTATGATATTAAGCGCAGTTACAATCACATGGGTTCAATTAAAATCCGGATAAATTTTTCATTTTAAAACGTACCGAACTTATAATACCCAATTTCGTGATCATAACCATATTACCTTGCGGAAACAGATAAATTAAGCTTAACATCATGTTCATTTTCCATTTTTAAACCATTAATTTACTTCTTGTTTAGTTCAATACTTCTACTATATTGTAGGTTTCTTCATTAGCTACATGTGGCTTCAAACCGTGCTCAAATCGGAGCACTGTAGCCCAAGTTAGGACCATTTGAAGCAACACAAGAGAGTGTTGGTCACAGGCCCAGCGCGCTTCAGCGCGCTACCGGGCGCTCAAGCGCGCGCTATCGGGCGCTAAAGCCTCCATCTGGGCGCTTAAGCGCACGGAGGCAGTAAGCATCAGGCATTCCAGTGTGGATGGGCGCTTAAGCGCGCAACAGGGCGCTCAGGCGCGCTAGCCTGGGCGCTCAAGCTCCCACTGGGACGTTTTAGCGCGCAGAGACAGAAGCATCTCCTCCTTCAGTGGCGAAGGGCGCTTAAGCGCGGACCAGGGCGCTCAAGCGCGCAACCCTGGGCGCTTAAGCCCCACCCTGGGCGCTAAAACACGAGGGGGCAGTAAGCCACCCAACTTTCTGCAGCAAGGGGCGCTTAAGCGCACGCCAGGGCGCTCCAGCGCGCAATCCTGGGCGCTTAAGCCCCCACTTGGGCGCTCCAGCGCGAGGAGGCAGAATGCATTGGCACTCGCAGGGGCAGCAGGGCGCTTGGGCGCGCTCCTGGGCGCTTAAGCGCGCTGCCAGGGAATTCCAATTCCCACATTTCTCAAGTCCAAGCCTAGGGGAAAATGCATCCCCATTACAAACCCCAAATGTCCATGCCCCAAAACTAAATCCTAGCACTCATCCAACCTCTCCTCATGAGATTTAGCTAGAATTTGGGCAGCATGACCTTTGTTTTCTCATCGTTTACCAGTTTAAACGAAGAGGGTACCTAATTGATTTTCAGCCCAACCAATTCAACAACTCAATACATAACAAGCATGCATATATTGAATTCCAAGTAGGCATCATTTACATTACATATCCTTTACAAATCATAGAACTTAGCTTACAAAACACTATGATCATTCCCTTGGCTCCCATCAACAAAAGGTGTAACCAAAGGCATGAGCATAGGCTAAGTTCATCCAATGAATCAAGATATACAAATGATCATGGGCTTTCAAAATAAAATCCTATACATGTCAACTACAAAAGGCATGCATAAACTCAAAGAAGTGCCATATTTCATGCATAATCTAGATATGGCCACTTGCCACGAGAGGCTCCTGCAGCATCCTTACCTGAAAGGGGGTCCCCACAACACGGGGTGAGATATACGAATATATCCAGTAAACCAGGGGTCCTTGGAGCATCTCTCCACCCCACAGTTCCATATCAGTGTAATAGCAATAACAATAATAATGCAGTAAATACATATCTATGCAAAGTGCAATACATCTCCAGGAGAAATCCCTCGAGCTCTCAAGCTGTCCTAAGGAAACTCAGATGCAAATAGTCCTACTGGCCAGCTAACTACCAAGTATGATTTACGCATCGTCATGCCACATACCAACATAGGGAAACACCATCCTATGCCACACCAAATGCATACACATACGTATAACAAAGCATTACACTATTTTATTGCATTTATATACACTATAATCACCACTACCCTTTCAGGGCTTGGTGGAACAATCAAGGGAATTACACCCAAGGTCCGAAGGCTTACCTCAATGCTTCAGTCGACCTTTGTTCACCACCAACAGGTTCCACAGTCAGTCAATTACAATACTTCACTTCTCAAACAAAACCTACACAAGGTTTAATGCAATTAACACATATTGCATCCAATAACATCTCATAGCTATCAACCAAGCTATACAATTCATACCAAACATAAGCATGAACTCACCTATCCAATGGAGCTAATCAAGCTCCATAGCTTGCTCCAATGGTTGATCACTCACGGTTGGTCCAAATGTCTCAATCCTAGACATCACAAGGATCCAATCAATCATTCAACTCATTAATTGTTCAACATGCTAGAATACTAACCAATCCAAGCATGAATTTTCCAATATTATGAACAATTATCAAATGACTATCTAGGCTCATTTCCACCGATTAAATGACATTCCTAGCATTTTCCATAACATGCTCTAAGCTCCATTCTTCCTAGAACATAGCTAATCCAACTACATTTCATAAAAATCCCAATTTACTATTCACAAACCCTAACCCATGCAAATTTCAAGGAATCATGAGGTTCAAGGGTTAGAATCTTACCACCAATGGTCACACAACCAAGGATTGATGGCTCCTCAAGCTTCAATGGAGGTAGAAACTCTCAAAACCCCAATTTTCACCAAAGGGCCGAATTTTTGAGAGCCAATATCTCTCTCCACAATGCTCCCCACTCAAAACAAAGCTAGGATTATGAAAGAGGGCGAGATTCTAAGCGATTTAGGCTTTTGAATCATCCAAAACCATCAAGGTTTGATCTCTCTCTCTCTCTTCCTCCCTTTCTCTCCCTCCTTCTCCTTCTTCTTCTTCTTCTTTCTGTTTCTGGCTCGACGAAGTGGGTGGGAAATGGGGGGTCATTTGGTGACTTAAGTCACTTAACTTAGGTTAAGTGGCTCTAAGCGGGTATTGGTTCGTCTATCTATTTAACTCCAATAATTACCAAACTTTACCCAAAAGTCTGGAATATTATTCTAGGAATATTACTATTTTTATTTTTATATTTTGGGTACTTTTGACAGTACCCATTTATACCCCTTAATTTTCACTGAGTACACTTTTTAACTCCAAAGTGACTCAGATTCATTTAATTAAGCCTTATACTTAATTTCACTCACTAAAACATGCTTAATTAATTAATTACACTTGATTTACTAATTAATTAAATTGGGCTATTATAAAAGTGGTCATGCAAATATGACGTTGAGGGACGAAGATATGGGCATATAACAACAAACCTATCCAAGTCGGTAAACGGGTATTAAAGGGGGCAAGAAACATGCCAATAATTGGATTGGTTAAGCATACGTACAATAGATTGGTTCATTATTTCATTGAAAGGGGTCAAGCGGCGTCTTGACAACTTCAATCTGGCCATCGTTATTGTAAAAATGTCATTGAGTCGTTGACGCATAATGAGTCTATGGCTACAATGCATAATTTTTGTACATATAATGTTGAAGAAATTGTATTTGAGGTTTATGCAGGCTGGGAAATATCGTATTTTGTCAACCCTCTAGAGCGTTCATGCCAATGTGGAAAATTTAAAGCATTGAAATACCCATGTAGTCACGCCGCAACCATGACTTTACACATTCGTCGGAACCCTCATCAATATGTGGATGATGTGTTCAAGACAACAAACTTGGTTAATGCATACTCATTTCTATGGCAGCCAATTGGCAATGAGCAAGCTATTTCACCCAGTATAGGTCCAGTGGTCATAACTGATAAGAATATGTTGCATGCAAAAGTCCGTCCAAAGTCGACCAAAATACGCAACAAGATGGACGAGGTTGAAACTAGTCAAGCACACTATAAATATGGTCTTTGCAAGCAACCTGGGCACAATCGTATGTCGTGTCCTGTTTGTGGATCTAATTCGTGATGACGTCGTAATTTATTTCAATTAATGATGCATTACTATGTCAATTAATGAAACATTGCTATTTCAATTAAACCTGATTTTCGATTTCAATCAATGTTGCATTGCGATTTCAATTAAATAGTCGAAAACATAACAATAGTAAAATGCAGTCCATAATAACAGTCCATAAATAATCGAAAACATAACAATCGTAAAATGCAGTCTATAATAACAGTCCATAAACACAGTCCTTATGTACAGTCCAAAGATAAAGTCCATAAATACTATGCAAAATGCATCAAAACTACATAGAATCTATGACCATCGAGGCCATGGTGTGTCACGTGCCTGACGAGGTGGTAATCGACATTTGACCCCAACCTTCAATTCCTCTACATACCCTTCTGGAGTTGGCTCTAGGTCAATAACTGAATCTGAAACATGTGATGCGCAGGAGATGAAGATGTGATAGGTGCTGACTAAACAAAGTCCAAAGTTGCGGTATGTAAAAAATCATATACAGCTGTACCTAGCTGGATGTCGCATGATGTCGAAGGCTGGTATAGAGATGGAGTGACCTCAGTCACATGATGTGAAGGCCACTCTCCAATCGTATATGCGCTCAAATCTATATTGTTGCACAATGCGTCTACGTTTTCCTGGGTCCACCCCCGATACTCAGTACTACTAGTCGATGGCTGAGTGAACGATACCTATCTAGAGGCCATGGTCATCGAACTGGCCTGATAGACTGCTTACTCTGCAAATACATTGATGGATACAATGTATCTGGTTGGCTAGTATAATACTATTGTTGAGGAGGCACATAATTTATAGGTTGGGTGCCAAACGTATGGCTCATAACTGGAGGTATGAACCATTCGTGCATATCTGTGCATGGTCTAGGGCCGAGAATAGGCACAGTAGCTGCTCGCACCGGTTACTGCTTGACGTCCCTCCTGTCTACCACGCAGAACCTCAATGGACAACATGGGTTCCTCAACTATATGTGTTGGTGTAGCTTGTGGTCCTGGTTCCTCAACCCGTGCAGACTCTTTAGAAACAGCAATACTGCATCCAATCTCCTCATGGACCCCCTCCAATCCGTAGCTCAGAAACTACTCATCAATGGTCATAAAGTACAACATCCCCATGCCGTCGATCTAAAACTCACTAACATTAAAATGTAAGAGACAAATATAACTGTAATCAACACATAAATATTATAACTTAAATAACTTACTGCTCGTTAAATCCTCGCAGCCCTCCTCACTACGAATCACTTGCCTCTGTGCCTGTACTAGTCTAGGTACCCATGGTTCGGGGACATCAAGCCCACCAATACAGGGGGGACACGTATGGAAGTCTTCCTGACCATCCATCTATGTATGAATGGCCTCAACTTACGTTCCCAATTTTCATCTCTTTTACCTCGAAGGGTCGTATCATGAACACCCTTGAGCTTTCTCGGTCTGTCTGGTATGGGCTGGTTAAAGCCAAATTGTTGCATGCGTCTATCTGGCTAACAATACTCAACCATATGGAAACATATAATATGTGCAATGGCCAACCACAAATACCGCTCACGATCAGATACTGCAATAATGTATGGTACTCTCTGTATGGTTGCCAAACCACCTACACAAAAACAAACAAACATACAATCAGTACATACTAACAAATGTAACAATTTAATATGGCATTAATAAATATTTAACACACCTCATCTCTATATAGTGCGTCTAGGTTTGCCCGATACTAAGACTGCTCATGTGGTCGGAAGGGGGCTAAAGAATTAAACCTGATTTCTAAATTTAGCATAAATTAATTATCCAATTAATGAACAGGTAATGAATAAAGCAATACAGATATCATATACCTGTATCCGAAGTGCCACCTCGGCTGGATAGGTTGAGGAAGAGGTGGAGCAATGAGGGGGAATCTAATCCAAGCCCAGATTTGAAGCAATATGTGGCTACCACCTATGGTTGTCATGCGCGGGTCTGTACACACGCATAAATGTCTAAACAAATGGGCGAGAATCGCAGAGCCCCAACTATATCTGCCAATGTCCTCAAACTCCCCTCTAAGCAATGAAACGTAACGACAGGCAATCTTACTACGCCCTGATCTATCACAGAGGAGCCATGACCCTAATAATCGCAAAATGTGTGCCCTAATGTAACGCATCAACTTCTCAGGATGTTGGGCAACTGGACCCCAATGGGCATACACTCTATCAAGGTATGAAATACATAGTTCGCCACCAAATACTCTTGGCCAGCAATGGGCACATGACCAAAAACCTGCCAACACTCGGTGGACCAATCCAAAGCGGTATGTCCAGTAGCTACTTGCCCGTCAGTAGGCAAATCGAGTATACCAGCCACATCCTGTAATGTGATCATCATCTCTCTCTGCGTCATATGAAACATATGTGTCTCTGGTCTCCACCTCTCGACCAAAGTACTAATAAGGGCGCCATCCATCTGAAATACAAACGACAATCATCAGTTTATATGTAACCACTTTAATAATTTATAAAAATTAGTGTAACCACAATCTGGTTCATTACTTTCTAAATTACATACCTGAATATGACGCATACGTACCATATGTATGAAACCAGCATGTGTGAGGTAATCAGCCACAACGTCTGGAATATCATCATGACAGGGTCCCCCCTGTTGTTTTCCTCGTCGAGTCTACAACCCTCTAATCTTATCCTCGTTCCACATGGTCTGTGAAACGTGGGTTCGTTGTGTCCTCTTCCGAAGTACCTCCCACCTATATGGTCTAGAAAGTACATGTGTAGAGGGATCGGAAGGCTCGGCCTCATCGTCGGATGTAGACCATGGCGACTCAGATGAAGACGAATCAGCCGTAACATAACACTATTAAAAAAAACAAATTGTTTATCATAATTAATTTAATTTAGATTTAAATTACATTAAATTAAATTATATTACATTAAATTAAATTAAATTAAATTAATATTGCCAAGTCCAATATTTAAAAAAAATCAAATTAAAATGTATTTTTTATTCAAAAGTATATGTTCATATATTACAATTCTGTATAATTATGTTAAGTCACTAATCATACCTTACGTCACTAACAAATTTCTAAGTCACTAACCATTTCCTACCTCACTAATAATTTCCTACGTCACTAATATAATATATCTATTGTTGTAATTAAAAAATAGAAAGCAAATATTAGGACTTACTTGAGTGATAGAGCTTCCCTGCACAAAAAGCTGAAGACAAAATCTAGAGAGAAGTCAGAGGTCAATTTTAGAAAGAAGGTGTGAAGTGAAAAAGTGGGGTATATACATGCCCCCTGTGGGGCGTGTCTCTCTCCTGCCAGGTCACGTCTCCTATATGGCGTGCCTCTCTCCTAAAACATGCCCTCTATGGGGCATGTCTCTCTCCAACAGGTCACGCCTCCTATAGGGCGTGTTTGAATGCTATAGATTTGTATTTACATTTACAACGACTGTGTTTCAATAATTATTTATTAAAAAAATAATATTTAAATTTTTTTGCCCCAAGTTGATCTTCTTGTTAATGGAGGCTGTAAGTTGCAAATGCATTGGGGTAAGGAGGCATCAAACAATATTAGTGGACATTCATATGGGTGTCGGTGGTATATATGGAAGTGTCTCTGAAAAATTAATTTCATAAATTTTTATTGGAGAATTACGAATGACTTCCAGTCAATTAGAACTAATCATCCCATGCTGAGTGGAATGTTCCTTATGAGAAACAAATCCGATCGATAGGGGGCCTAGAGGTGGCAAAGCGGGTCGCCTGCCCCGTTATCAAACCGCCTACAAACGAGTCAGCTCGTTCGCCCCGCTTGATAGTGGGCTGAGAAAGTCAGCTTGCCCTGCCTAAAGCCTGCCCCATCCCGCCCCGCCAGCCTGTTTATTTTATTTTTTGAAAGTTTTCTTTTTTTCTTTCTTTTTCTTCCCTTTTTATTATTTAATTATAGTTTTAATGATTTCTTTAGTTTGTGGTGCTATTGCACTTTCTTTCATTTATTTTTTTAAATTCTATTACTTTCCCATTTACTATTAATTTGATATTGTAGCACCATTATTTTTCAACATTAATGGTCATTTTTTTATCAATAAAAATTATTAGGATACTAACTTTTCACTTTACTACGTATTTTTCTTTATTTTTAAATTACATCTTATTCATACGTTAAGCTCTAACAAAGAACAATTAGAATTAACTGTAGAAACAATAATATTTTAGCTTTCTAAAAGTTAGAGAAACTTTTTTTTAGTATGCTAGTAAGTAAAATTAGACATCTAAGAAAATTTTTTATTTTTGATTTCGTTAAAAGTCAATATAACAACATATGAATTGACTTATTATTCCCATTCAAAGATAATAATCGTGTGTCATCCAAACATTGATAAACTGTGATGGATTACTAGCCTACTCTACTCCTTACGTCTTTTCTTTCATTAGCTAAATTTAAACTTTGGATTCATAGTTGATGTGAGATAACAAAGCCAGAAATCGTAGTATTTGGGTTGGGCAATAGAGTCCGAATGTGCGAGATAAGAAAGGTCAAGTGTTAAAAAAAAGGTTGTTCGCGGTGTGCTAAATGAACCAGGGCCTATGCCTCGGCTCGTGAAGGCCTAGACTTATATGTCTAAAATTAGTTGTTGGAACCAGGCTTGAATTTATATAAAAACTCGTTTAATAAAAAAGCTTCAGACCCCAATTCAAAAGCCCAGCCTCAGAGCCTCTCAGGCTGGCCTAGTATACTAACTCTTATTTTTATTTTATATTTTTGGTTAAATTACATGTTACCCCCTTATACTTAGGTCACTTTTCAAAAGAGCACCATGTACTTTTAATTGCTGCAATTAACCTCCTTGTACTATGTAATTTTTACGATCAAGCATATCCATTAAAAATTTTCAAACCCCATTAACTATTTACGTGTTTCCTTAAAAGTGAAAAAGGGTTCCCTCATCATCTAATAACCACAAAAAAAGA